CCCTGCCCATCCTTTCTCCTACCTGGCTATTGGCCATTCAGCTCCTTTATTAGGCTAATTAGGTGTTGTAGACAGGTAAAGTGAAACAGCTTTACAGAGTTAAAACAAATGCAACATAAAAGAACGCAACACATCTTTGCATCATTAAATATTCCACACATAAACAAATGTAACACCTCTTAAACTAATATTCCGCAACACAACTGTGCTTTTGCAGAATACTTAGGAAGCAGAATTAGAGTTCCAAGTGTCAGTGACTGAAGATGCAATGTCATGAGAGCCCTGCTGGCTTCCATCATGGTGAATTAGTTATTAAATGATTAAGAGCTTACATTTTACTGAGCGGGGACCTGTAGAGAAATGGGGCTGTGGAAAACAAGTGGCAGTGGCGAAAGCAGACAGAGGTGATGTCTGGGCAAAGGCTTTCTGCTTCCTAGAAACTACACAGCTAATTGTGATTGGCCTGGAAGTTTGGTCCAATCTCAGAATCATAGAATACAGAAAGCAGATAGCAGGGAGGCCGGAGTGGCTGGACCACCTGGGATAGCAAGGGGAGGGGAAGAAAATCAGGCAGCTGGGCTTTTGGTTTTGCTTCCCAGGGTATCTCCCAGTACCCCATCCTTCCAGGGCCACCTTGGTTTTCAGATGTGTGTGTGTGGCAGTGTGGCATTCTAAGGTCAACTAGACACAGCAGTGGCAGAGTATGTATGCTCCATTGTCAAGAGTTCTGCTTCCTCATAGAGATGAGATGGCAGGAAGGACAAGGAAGGGAGAAAAGCAGCTTCCTTCCTGCAAGGGACTTTCAGTCTGCTTCTCCTTTCCTGAGTTCCGGCCTAACCACTGGCTTTACTTAGGCATGGGTTCTGGGGCTAATGGTGTTGGCTTAGCCGGGTGAGTTTTGGTGCATAGTTGAGGATGAGGTGAGATTGTCTAGCACCCTGGATTCCGTTATGATGAACTGTTTTCATTACATGATTACTGCTTGTGGTGAGCAGCACTGAGGATGCCAGTTCTGCTGTGATAGGGTACGCAGACTACCAGGTTGAGAAACTATTTGATTTGGTAGAAGCAGCTACGTTGGACAGAGCCAATCTGCAGCCAGAGAACAGTGGGAGGTCACCAGCTTAGGCCTTCTGTGTATTGTGCAGGAATTCTTTGCTGAGTTTTGAGACGTGTAGCTGTGGCATGTTGTTTGTTTTTGTTTTAAGACAGGGTTTCTCACTCTAATGGACCTGGCTGTCCTGGAACTCACTTTGTATACCAGGCTGGCCTCAAACTCAGAGATCCACCTGCCTCTGCCTTCCGAGTGCTGGGATTAAAGGCCTGTGCCACCACTGCCCAGCTAGCTGTGACAGTCTAAAACTGAAATTATTTTAAAGGTTATTTTGAGCTGGATGTGGTGGCTGCTTTTAATCCCAGAACTTGAGAGGCAGAGACAGGTGGATGGATCTCTGAGTTTGAGGCCAGCCTGGTCTACAAAGCTGATTCTAGGACAGCCAAAGCTAAACAAAAGGAACAGTGTCTAAAAAAGAAAAAAAAAAAGAGAGATTATTTTATTTTATATCAATGAATGTTTTGTCTGTATGTATGTCTATGTTTCATATGTGTACCTGGTGCCCAAGGAGACCAAAGAGGATGTAAGATCCCCTGAAACAGGAATATAGATGGTTAAGAGCTGCTATGTGCTAGAGATCAAACCCAGATCCTCTGGAAGAGCAACCAGTGCTCTTAACTACTGACCATCACTCCAGCCCCAGAAACTTAAAAAAAAAACAGGGATTTACATATTTTATACATAGGAATATGTTGCTTTCATGTGCTATGTGTGTACAGTGCTCACAGAAGCCAGAAGAGGGCATTGAAACCCTTAAAACTGGAGTTACAGATGGTCATGAGCCACCCTGTGGATGCTGGGAACTGAACCTGGGTCCTCTGCAAAAGCAGCAAGCATCCTTAACTGCTTAACCATCTCTCCAGCCCTCCCTGAAATAGTAATTTCAAAGGCTCCACATGTTGTCAAATAGGCACCAGCACAATCCGGTGCACCAAGGATCTCTGTTAATTTACAGGCTGTGACTACTGCTGACTTCAAAGGCCAAGAGTAGAATTGGGACTCCGAAGATATAGGCTTCTCTACAGACTTGCCGTGGTGGCATTTATTCCCAACAGCTGTCCTCTCATTTGGGACACACGAGTGTGTTTTTGCACTCATGTCTCTGAAGGGTCTCATTGGCTTAGCTCAAGAAGCAGTCAGCCTGTTTCCAGTGTCAAGACTCTCGGGTGGATTGTGCAGCCAGCTAAGAGCAGCGATCCTCTTGCAAGAGGCTCCGACAGAAGAGCTAGTAAGACCACCAGAAGCTTCCAGTCGGACTCTGGAGGCCGTGGAGGCCAAGACCTCAGGATATTGTATGGTGAGGGTAAACAGCTGTTTGAGTAAATGTCCTTCAGGACAAACTCTGCATCTTGGAGCGTTCAGCTGTGGGGATGGGGATGGTCATGGGACCCACACCTGAGTATCCATCTGCTGCCTGCCACCTATTGTGTGCAAGTCTGCTTTAACTGCACGTGGTCTGGAGGGTGGGACTACAGTATAAAGGCGGGGCGGGGGATGGGCAGGTGACTAGGGGAGGGGCTCCCTCATCCCTGCTGGGTAAAGGCTTTCCAGATACAGCCTACTGGTGGAGTAAGCACCCCTGTAAGCATCCTCACCTATGCTCTGTAAGGAAGCCCAATAAACTTGCTGGCTCCCCAGAGAGAACTCTGGCAGACTCCTGCCTCTGTTTGTTGTTGGGACTTTAGAAGGGGTCGTTGTTACTTGCTTACGTCTCTACAGTTAGAAATTTCAGCAACAGCCATATCTAAATACCTTAGGCTTAGAAACTGTCTGTAGGCAAGTAGACAGGGAGTCTATTTGCCTGGGATGTGAAGTAGGCCAACTTTTGCAGCTTCCCTGTTATATTGGAAGATGGCCCAGAGCATTAACAAGTCAAAGTACAGTGCTGCTGATGAGAGTCTGCTCTTCTGTCTGGTTGCACCAGTTATTGTGGATCTAAGCAGGGTGGAGTTAAGATTGGAAGCTGTCAACCCTCCCACCTTACCTGTGTCCTGAAAACAAGAGAGCTTGGTGTTGGGGACTCTGTGCTGACAGAAAAACAAATCTCTTTGGCCAGAGGGTCTGTGATTTTCCCCAGCACTTCCTTTCCACATCTGTAATATGGAACAGTGATTTCACTGAAATTTATCTAAGGTAAAATAGGATTTGAATTTCATATTATTGTACTCCCCAGACTGTCTCAGTCATACACACTAAGCACAGAGTCTGTATATTGCTTTTCAGTCAAAATCATCTCAAAGAATGACAAACTCGTCAGCATGAGTTTTAGATTAGAAGATGAAACGGCTTTACAACAGGCCTGCAGATTTCAGTAGCACATTGTCAGGTTCTTTGCAGTGATACAAAAACCTTCCCAACAAGCTATTCTTGCTTGGAGTATAGCTTAGGTTTTAGGACCAACCAACAAGGTTAAACCTTTATGGGTCTCCAGACAGACAACACACTGGGTGAGTAAAGAGCAAGTTGTCCCTCTAGGGGACATATGTGGACAGGCACTCAGAAACTCTAGAACCAAGGTTTTTGGGGTTTGTAGAGAAAGAGAGAGAAAGAGAGGGAGAAAGAGAGAGAGACAGAGACACAGAGAGAGAGACAGAGAGAGAGAGAGAGAGAGAGAGATAGAGAGAGAGAGAGAGAGAGAGAGAACATGCCATGGTGTATAAGTGGACGTCAGAGGATAGCTTGCAGAAGTTGTCTCTTGCCTTCTACCATGTGGGTCCCAGGTGGATACCTGGATGGTATAGTCAGGACGACTTTACCAACTGAGCCATCTTGCAGTGGAAACTGAGGCCAGGGCCTTGACATGCTAAGTACTTGCTTGTTTGTGTGGAGTAAGTGACCAAAGCACTCAAATAGATTCACTATTGTTGCTGCGTTCCTGCACTCAGCAGGGTCTTTTCCCCTGTGGGATCTAAGCTACTTTGTTTTCTTGGAGATATATAACTATCAACTAGTGAATATTCTATCACAGAGTGCTTTCAAATGACAGGAGTTGGAGCCAAGTGTCCAGCTGACACAAGCGAGGTATTTAACATCCTTAGACACTATACTTGCTGCTGTTCAGATCTCTCCTTTAGACTCAGGCTTGCTGGTGCACTTAGGAGACTGGCAAAAATTCAAGGCCATCCTTGGCCACACAACAAATTCAGGGCCAACATGACCTACATGACATTCTGTCCCAACAAACAAAAACACCCCAAACTGCCAATCCCTTCCCACCCAAAACACTCCAAGCTTTAACATGTATTATATCAGGATAGCTCCACAACCTTCCACAGTAATTCTTCCACAGCGAGCTGGCAGCCACTGGCTTTTCACATCCTGGCATCAGCTTCCAAGGCATCACTCCTTTAGCTATTGGAATTACAGTGAAGAAAAAGCATGGCTGGCTAACAAAGCAGATGGATGCTTATTTGTTTTAGATAAGGTATTGCTTGCTATGCAGCCCAAGTTACCTTATCCATGCCTCTGTCTCCTGAGTGTTAACTAAGATTATAGGTATACAGCATCACAACTGGTCTAACAAGGCTTTCCAGTTGGAAGACTAAATGTTGCCCCTTGTGTGTGAAGGTACCTAGGCTTTCTTCTTGATCCCTACTTGATGCTCATCTCTTGTTCTCTCTCTGTCTGTGTCTCTCTCTGTGGTAGTTTGAATGTAATTGGTCCCTATAATCTCATAGGGTGTGGCACTATTTGTTGGAATAGCTGTAGCCTTGTCAGAGGAAGTGTGTCCTGTGGGGTGGGCTTTTGGGTCTCATATATGCTCAAGTCACAGACAGGACATCTATATTACCATCACCACCAACAACCACCACACCACAACAACTACCACCAACAACCACCAACAACCAACACCACATCACCATACCACCAACCACCAACAACAACCACCACCAACCACTACCAGCACCCAGCACCACCAGTACCACCATCACTAGCACCACCACAGCTCAGGGACAACATAGATGAGGAGGTGGAAAAAGCTGGAAGATGAAGAGTGCCATGGAATGCTGACTTTTGACATGTTGTTAATCCCAGCCTGCACTTGGGAGGCAAAGATCTCGTGAATTCAAGACAACCTTGGTCTATATAGCAAGTTCCAGACCCACCACAACTACCCAATCACAAAAATACTGAAATACAAAGAATCCTGTACACATAAAGAAAAACTGTGGATCCATGTTTGTTGACATTATGTCTCTGTGCTGTGTACCTTTGTGCATTTTTGGGGAGGTGGGTCTTCCTCACTCTCTTTCCAACTACTTTTTCAGACAGGGTCTCCCACCAATTCAGCTAGACTGGACCCCCGCAAGGCCTGAGATCCCCATCTCTGCTTCCCAACCACTGGATTTCAGATTCCTGCCCCATAAGTTTTAGGAATCACATTCAGATCCTCATGATGGTAAGTGCCTTATGATAAGCCATCTTTCTTTCCAGTTCCCTAACATTAAATTTACTTTGAGTCCGTCTGGCATTGAAGCTTAATACTTCATCAACATTTGCATTTGACTGTGTTTGTGTTAGAATTAACAGGCAAAGGCAATGAAATGGCTTTGTGGGTGAAATCACTTGCCTCTGGAAACCTGGTGATCTGAGTTTGATCCCAATAGTGAAAGGAGAGAACAGACTATGCAAGGATGTCCTCTGACCTTCACACAAGTGCATACACACAAGTGCATGTACACAAAATAATTTAAAAGTGAATTGTAACTGAGAAATTTATGGACTCCTAATCAACAGCCTATTATAATTCATGTATATTCAAGTTAAGTACCTTGCAAAATTTCTCTATTTATTAAAAATGTTATTTTAGGACCAGGTCAGCCTGGTCAATTGAGTGAGTTTCAGGACAGTCTGGGCTATACAGAGAAGCCCTGTCTTGAAAAACCTTCCTGGCCTCTCCACGGTGACAGTCCCAGGTTTTCAGACCCCTCTGAAGTTCTGAGACCACTTTTAGCTGACCACGTAAGGTCATTTTGCTCTTCAGAATGCTTTGTATTTTGTTCTTTTATCTTTGCACCAAATCGGTAAGGCAAGAAAGCAATTCCTTTTCCAAACCAGACAGACAGAAGGCCGACTCACTCCAGAAACACTGCAGTGCTACAACAAGAAATGAAGGCTGCTGAGATTCTCCTTTATATGTTAACCATGAGGTAAGATCAGACATGTTACTGCCGGCAGGCATTGAATGTATAAGCATCTGGGTGTAGATCACAGGACATAAATAAAGCCCTTCTTTCTTATAAGACTGCTTGTACAGTCACTTGGATGAGTTTAAGATATGTGAGAGAACTAGAGACAAGGCTCAAAGCCCAGCACTCTGCTGCAAGGAAAGACGTGCCTGAGGGGTCAGGAGCAGGTGCTTCATGTCTCCTAAGTTCTTCTCTGCCTGGCAAACACATGTACAGACACATGCCAATATTATGGTGTGGGGTGAAGAGGTAGGTTTTTCAAGCTCCCAAGGGCCTTGCTCTACTGCCAAACGCAAGAGTTGTGTGTCGTATTTAGAGGAGACCCTAGGTTTACTTGTAACAAAGAGACAAATGTCGATCCTTAGGGTATAGATCAGTGACAGATTATAATCATGTCTGATCCTTAGCAACACGATCTCCTCCTTCCCTTCTCTCTCTCGTTTATATAAGCTGAAAAGGTAAAATGAAAATGTATAAAATAAAGAACTTAATGAAAAGTTTTCAAATTTCTTTTCATTCTCCTTTTAACATTTGTTCACATAAGAAAATAAGAACTCTTAGATATTGCTAGCCTTTTGGCCTGCTACAAAATGAGAATTTTGAAGAAGAACAATCACCACTGGTTAGCAGAGAAAATAGAAACCTGGAGTTTATACAGTACAGCTTAGAATCTGGCCACCTCCAAGCCAGAGCTGGCCTGGGTACTCAAGGTTACAATTCATCCTGGAGTCTTCATCAGCAGTGATCTTCATTTGTCTCTGGTGAGATTTGGATGAAGAGAAAAGCGACTTCCACCTGCAGTCTACAGAAATATTTTAGGAAAATAGTTTCAGGTTTACATATAACCTAAAATTTCAGCTGGGTACGGAAACTGAGGACTGGTCTTCAGAAAACTGAGCTCAGCCAGCACACTTCTCTAATCGTGCAGGTGCAAGGTGCCTGAGCTGCTAACAGCCGTGGAGAAGTCGACACTGCTTACATGAGGGCTTTCAGCTCTGCGTCAGTTAGCTCATTCACCTCCATGATCTTCTCTAAGTGCTCCATGTACCGGCTGTGATCATGCAGGAAGTGGGGGACTCTCATGTTTTCAGTAACTGCTAATTCTTTTAAACGGTCTACATCTTCATAAGATACCTGAAAAATAGAATTGTTTTTACAACTACAAGTTATATTTTAGAAGTGAATTTTTCTCTTGGACCTTAAATATGTGGATATGAGACCCACACATCTTTTTTTTTTTTTTTTTAAGATTTACTTATTATGCATACAGTGTTTTGCCTGTATGTCTTCCTGAATGCCAGAAGAGGGCATCAGACCATTATAGATGGTTGTGAGCCACCATGTGGTTGCTGGCAAACTGAACTCAGGACCCTTGGAAGAGCAGTCAATGCTTTTAACCTTTGAGCCATCTCTCCAGCCCATGGCTCACATCTTTAATCCTAGCACTTGGGAACTTGGAGGCAGAGATAGATGGATCTCTATGAGTTTAAGGTCAACCTAGGCTATATGACGAGATCCTGAATCAAAACAAAGAAGACAAAAACAAAAGCATGGATTGTCAAATTACTAGCTGCAAAATACAAAAACATACAAAAATAGTTGGTTACTTTAGTACATTAAATATTATTTTTGCCCTCTCATTGTTAAGCATAAAAGAGAAGAGAAAATCAATATTTGACTTCACACTCTGATCCTGGAAATAAATCAGTTTGTATGAAAGTCAGGCAGGCAAACTTCCCATGTGTTCAGGCTGACGTTACCTTTTGTTGGTAGTGATACTGAGGATCAAACCTTTGGCCTTGAGCATGCTAAGCAAGTATTCCACCACTGAGCTACATTATCAGGTAGGAGAGACTAAACTCAAATAAATCTCTTGATTTAAGAGATGGTACACACCTTTAGTCCTAGCACTTGGGAGGAAGAGGCACTCAGATCTCTAAGAGTTGGAGGCCAGCCTAGTCTACATAGAGAAACTCTGTTTTAAAAAAATCTAAATAAGGGAATCAAAATGCAGCTAGCATGAAGAAATCTGAAGAAGGAGCACTCTCGTAGACCAGCTTCCTGACTCTGTCCATCAAGCTGGAGATGCTATATTCTCTTGCTTTCACTCTCCCTGAGCTTTCACTTTCCCTGAGCCAGAGGTGATCTGCAGACTGCTGGGGTAGAATTGTCACCCACAGTCTAACTCAATTGTAGGTTCTGTGATGTACCCACTGTGGTGGAAGTGGCAAGTCTTACAGAGATAGCCAACTGCTTCTTGGCCAGAATTGGGGCTCTCTCCATAGGAAAGAATTTGTGTAAAGGAACTGTAAACCTGCCCAGCAGCCTGTGGCTGAGGTCATAACCCTAGTTGGAAAGCTGGGGCTGCTGTTTGGTAGATGAGGTGGTGTTCCTACCAAATCGCCTTCTAAATAACCATGTGCATGCCCACAGATGAATGCTGCTCTCAGCTCTGGCCAGAGAAACTTCTTTTTGCTGTGGGTAGTAGTTAATGCAGAGACTCATAACTGGTCAAAGGGTCAAGCACTAAGTGACGTGACATTTGAATCAGCAGCCATAAATGAACCATCTACATCCCTCTCTCCCAGACTCAGAGCATCACAGAGGGTCAGAAAGAATGTAATAGCTAGTCGTGTAGAGTGCTGACTTTTGAGCTGAGTTCGCAACAGCTGTGATGATCTGACATGGAAGGGGAGGGCTCATGAGGATTTATAAGCAGTTAATGATTGATAGCAAAAGTGAGATTTTTTTTCAGTAGTCTATAGTCAACCTCTTACCCACACTCCCAAATACAGAGAAACTCATTGAGTCATTAAACAGACATGAAGCAGGGAATACCATCACACACTTTCAATCCCAGCACTTGGGAGGAAGATGCAGGCAGATCTCTATGAGTTCCAGGCCAGCCTGGTCTACACAGGAGTTGTTGGGGGAGGCTGAGCCATTGTTTACTCACCTTGCCCAGGGCAGTCAGCAGATGAAAGTCTATGGAATCTCTGAATCGAAGGATTTGAAGGATTCCATCCAAGTATACTTGGTCTTTACTGAAACACCCTGGAGGAACCAGAAGAATATTTACTTTCTCTTTAAAAGGATATTTTTCCTTTTTTATATGTATTTACATATAAATATGTAGTTTACTGCCTGCACATATGCCTGTATATCATAAGAGGACACCAGACCTCATTACAGATGGTTGTGAGCCACCTTGTAGTTGCTGGGAACTGAACTCAGGACCTCTGGAAGAGGAGTCAATGCTCTCTCCCTAGCCCCCTTAAAAAGGATATTTTTTTTCAATGGTGTGTGTGTGTGTGTGTGTGTGTGTGTGTGTGTGAGAGAGAGAGAGAGAGAGAGAGAGAGAGAGAGAGAGAGAGAGAGCGTCCACACCTCCATATGGGCACCTGAGGAGGCCGGAGGCATTAGATCTCCTGGGGCTGAAGCTGTGAGCTGCCCAGAGTGGGTAGTGGGAACTGGACTCAGGTCCTCTGCACAATCAGTACACATTTAATTGCTGAGCCATCTTTCCAGCCCCAGTGTTACTTTTTAATGTTTAAAGCAACACAAAAGTAGATGCTAACGATTCTTTTTATGGTAGGAACATCTCTGTATTTAAAACATTCTAGTCTTATTTTCTGAGACAGGGTTTCACTGACTAGGTAGTTTTAGCTGTCTTGGAACTCATTGTATAGACCAGGCTAGCCTTGAACTTACAGACATCCACCTGCCTCTGTCTTATGCTGGGATTAAAGGTGTGCGCCACCATGCCTGGCCTATGTTTATTTTTGTTCAATTATCTTCATAACAAAACATGCCATGGAATTTTTGGAAACTGGAAATGGAAAGTAACAAGATAGTATGGATAGTATACAGTCCAGTACTTTCACCTCAAGAATTCCTTTTACTGATTTTTCTTAATGAAAATGACATCTTCCTCAAATTTGAAGCCCGGGACTTAAAGCCAGTGACTTAGTGTAATGCTTGACGTGATGGAGAGATTGGGTGAGAGGTCTTAACAGGGCAATATGGAGATGTAGGGTATTGAATGTCCTATTTTTTTCTGTTTGTCCTGTGCTAAATAGCAATAGCCCTGCCCTAACTCCTTTATAACAATTATGATCCTGGATACTATGGAGCACACCTGTGATTGCAGCTAACTGGGAAGCTGAGGCAAAAGAATCTTGAGATTTCAATCATCCTGGATGAAATAATATGGTACTATTTTGGTTGGTTTGGGTTGCTTTTGTTTTGCTTTGTTTTTTGAGACTAGGTTTCAGGCTCAGGAAATACCTAAGTCTGTAAAGAGCTTGCCTCTCATATCTAAAAACCTACATCTAAAAGACTATCAATGAGACTGGCTCTTGCTGTGTAGCCAGGCAGGCTTTGAATGCACATCCACTTCCCATCTCAGCCCTTGAAGAGTGAAGTTACAGGAATGTGCCTCTATACTACATCCAGCAAAACCATGGCTTAATGGCTTAAAAAGTGGGAAGCCCAGATCGATCTACACAGGGAGTTCCAAGTCAGCCAGAGTTACACTGTGAGACTTTGTCTAAAAAAAACAAACAAAAAGCTAACATCAGTGGGTACAGTGCATACAAAGAGCCCTGGCTTGGATTCTCAGCCCTGCACAAACCTGGTATAGTGGTGCACATCTCTAATTCTAGAGGTAGAGGATCACAAGTATACAGCAAATCTCATGCCACCCTGGACTACCAAATCCTTGTCTCTCAGGAAAACATAAAACAAAACAAAAAAACAACAAACAACAAAAATACACAGACATACACGCATACACAGACACACACACAGAGACACACACACAAAGAGACACACACACAGAGAAAGAGACAGACAGACAGACACACACACACACACACACACACACACACACACACACACACAACACACACAGATTTACAATTGAGATTAGGTTAGTCAGGAAAGGGCCTGCTGTGGAAACATGAGCCTGTGTGATCCCCACACCATGTACAATGCTGGTGAGCAGTGCATTCATATAATCCCAGTGCTGTGAGGCCT